ATTGAAGTCGAAATTTACTAATCCTCGGTGACTTCCCTGTGACAAAAATTGCTTTTATAAAATATACCACTGCGATGCTCACACGCGGCCAGTTGAACCACTATCTTCGTTCTCTAATTTGTTGGATGTAACCAGAATGAAATTGTTGAATGCTCAATTGCTTGAGGAACGTGTATTATTAAAAGCCAAAGAGCTAATTGCCAACTTCCACAAGTTTTAATTAATTTATAGTTAAATGACTTTTGGAAGCTGGTATATTTAGATTTTTTTTCTATTATTTTAGGAACGAGAAAATGTTTTAACTAGTATTATTCATATTGAGCGGGAAATGTCACCGGCAATTACCAGAAATGTAAAAAATTACTTGAGTTGCGTGAGCAGCTCAACGCGCTTGGATCAATAAGCCTTGAGAGAAATATTAACCTTCAATTTTTATCGATATGTTAAATATTTCATTTATCAATTTAGTTCTAATAATAAATTGCATTCAGTTTGTTATAAAAAATTGTCAGTATTATCATTGATCCGTATTATACTTTGAAAAATTGTAAACTTTGGAAATTGCTTTAAAAAAAAATTTAAAAATGTCAATTTTTTTTTTTAGCTTGTTTATTGAAAATATTACAATTTGTATCAAAGGACATTTATAATAGTGTTCAGAGATCACATTTACACTATGTACAATGAAAAAAATAAATTATACAGAAAAATAATGTATATGGAATAAATAAGTATAAAATAAGCCAAAAATAAATAAATAAAAAAGAACACAGACATACCTATATACACTAATCGACGTTCTAACACGATAACATTACCATGTATACGGAATCATTTTTTTACAATATAGAATGTTTAAAAACATAAATTTTCCTTTTATTTTCCCATCATAAGAAAGAATAAAAGACATTTTATGTAGGTTCACTATTGGAATATGAAAAATCTGGTGCGCGCATCACACCACTCTCACTTACTTAATAAGGGTTCCTGAGTTCTTAGTGCTTCATTAAATAGACAAAGTTTAGCAATTTTCGTAAATATTTTGTAGGTTACGATAAGATAAATCTATTCAAGAAGTTTTAGACGGATGTTAATAATTACATAAAAATCTGGTACTGTGCGCGCATCACACAACTTTCACTTACCACGCACTTCTTAGCAGAAATAAGTATTTTCAGATTAAAATAAATAAAATAAAAATAAATAAATAAAAAAATTTTAAAGATTACCTTTTTAAAGATACAGGGTATAAGTTTTTTTTTCATATTTCTTAAATTTCATTTTTATAAATAGATTAAATTTTTCATAGTTATAAATAGATCTTGAAATTTGAAACGGCTGTTTTAACTACTGTTAATAACATATTATTTATAATATACTGCAAATCACTAAACGAGTTTTAAATCTCATACTTAATTATTAAGTTTTAGGCCTAATATTGCAAATTAACATTCTATATTGACGTAGTACATGTGAAGATTATTCATATGATAAGAGGGGTTATAGTACCCGTATTTTTATTTAGGTTTAAATTAAAGATTTGACACATATTTTAGAAAATCAAATAATTCACGAGAATCAAAGAACCCATTTCTCTCGTCCCTTAAAATTGTTTGTTCTATTTTTTGGCACCTTCTTCCCTCATTCACTCATGAACAGCTTCGGAACTGAAAATTTCGATAGTTAAAACTGGTGTTAGAATAGATCTAATCTATATAGAATATTTACAAAATAATTTCACTCCTAAAATCCTATAAATATAATTTAAATCAATTACATTATTTATAAATAATCCAGAAATCATTCACATTTCACTGATTGTTACAATAATTATTTATATAAATAAACAATATTCATTTGATGTTTGATATATAAAATAAGAATAAAATTTAAACCAGTGTAGTAATTGGTATTGAAAAATATTTGGTACTTTTATGCAAAGAGAATTTCTAATGTAAGTATATTGTTTCTTCCTATACGGAAGTTATGGTTATAATTGAAAAAAAGGTAATTTATTTTTTTATTCTATTTTACCTTCATTCAACCTTGGATAGATGAAATTAGAAAAATAAAATAAATGCACACAATATTATCACATAAAATGTTAGCTTAGAAATTGCTATTAATAATTATTAGAATAAAAGATGAATTATTTATAAATTATGTGTTATTGATGTCTGATAATCAGAGCAGAAATTAAAATTCGACTTTTAGGTTCTGCCCAAACATGGTTATACGTGCAAAAGAATCAAAGGATTAAAGGATTAAAAATTTAGGATTCCAGTTTTCAATAACAATTCAGTCAAAAACGTATAATTTATTTTCAGAATTTGGTAACATTTCCTTTGAAGCATATTCTTTCTGTCTTCAAGCTTTTCCAAAGAGGATATTAAAAATGCATTCATGGGAGCAATGGTACAGAAGCCAAGGAGAAAATTTTGAATTATTAGCGAAATAGTATCATACTTTTGTTTACGATATTAATAAAAACTGATGTTTCATGTGATACATCTGATGTTCCATAAAAGTAATAGTATTTTCAAAATTCTTTACGATTATTTTCATATGATTGTCATTTTATTCAAGTGGTTTTGAATTTATTTGATTACAATTTACTTTATAACCTTTAGATTTTTTTCAAACATGAGTTAAAAAATCAAAAAAATATATTAATATTTTCGATATAATCAGTTTAAATTTAGTGAGAATTTCAATAAAACTTATAACAAATGTCAAATATCAACGACCCCCTATTAGTTTGCAGTCTCCGCCTATGCGTAATTAGACAATAAAGTTGTATCATACATATGTTTTTAGTATTATATTATAGTATCCCAGACTATTTCTTTCTTCTTATAATTCGTTATATGAAGGAACGATGGAAGAAGGTACTTTCGTGGTTGTATTTCTGTGGTTTCAAGGTGCGTGTATCCACGTGCGTGTCGAAAATACCATCGACATCAGCTTATCAACTGTTTTGATCTGATGGATGAGTCGGCTTGACAGCGTTTATCAATAGGAATCAAAGCTGTGTGGATAAACCGACTGGGGGATACTTGTTTTCAATGTCAGATCACGAACGATAAGGGTACATTTTGTTTAAATTTACATATTGTTTTAAATATAGACAAGGCATATTATTGCTTATGCGATATTTGGCTCCCCCAGTAAATTACGCCATGAATTCCCCTAAAAAAAATAAATTAATTTATATTTAAATTGTGTTTCATTCAATATGTCGCTGAATCTGTTGCTTTATTAATAGGCTAAAATTAATTTTAAGGCCGGATATTGTTAATTCCTAAATAAAATATAAAATAAAGTATATTCGGAACAATATATTATTATATTAAAAATTATATTATGGTTGCCAGATATTGGGACAATTTATTATATATTTGAGCACGATGAGTTTCATCTCTCCTATTTGTTCTAAAAATCTTTATTATGTTTTCTGTGGAAGTCTATTTTACATTGTTGGTGGGTATTTTAAGGTTTATAAATGGTTGATTTGAAAAATATTAGTTAAAAGAAATGTGTACGTCTGATGACCTCAAATGGACTTACACCTCTTTCAAATTCAATAACAGGTGGAAACTATAACTTTATAATTAGTGTTTTATTTACTACCGGTTGTGAACAATAATTATGTATTGTAACTATAAAAAATTTGCCACCACAATAAACTCTTAGTATATGCAAGAGAATAATATTTTAAGAATAAAATTAAATTCATAACACTACCGTTAGTGCAAAAGGTCCTATGTAAAAATTGAGTGTTTAACAGGAGGGCATAAAAACTGATCATTCTTCAGTCCGCTAATGCTACAGTCTGCTACTGGAAAATACCAAAGGGAAATAAAATATGAAATAATATTGATAAAACATAAAGAAATATTCAGTTTTTATGCTCTCCTATAAAACAATAATTTTTTATATACGACCAGTTATTCGTCATAAAAATCTTGTTTATTTATTTATTACTCTCCTGTAGTGTAGCCCAAATGCGAGACCGAGATGAGTCTTGTTCTTGCAAATTCAGTCTTGATCTTGTGCAAGACTCTCGCAACAGTCTTGCAGTTACTTATTAGCTTATTACTATGGAGATATTACTGTATTATTTTAGATAGGAGAGACCTAAGTAAGCCCGAATGAAAAATTAGAGGAGTTAAATGCAAAAGTATATCGATTATACCAATTATTAACATATAGTAACTAAGATTGTCAAGTATTAGTAACAACTTTGAGTTAATTTTTATTTGAAAAATCGATTTTTTTTACCAGTCCTGGTCTTGGTCTTGCAATGGTTAGGCGGCCTTGGTCTTGTTCTTGCAAAGTGCCCGATTTCGGGAAACACTATTCATGACTTATTAAATACAGGAATATATTTTATAAAGGATTTTATTTGACAAGTTAATATAAATTACGAATTTAAGATTTTTTTATATCTAAATTTCCAATTATTTTTGTTTATCATGATATTCAAAAAATAATTTTACCTAATATCTCAATGTAATTTTGACTTAATTTCTTTGAATCAGCTTGGAAATTATAAGTATAATTTGTATTTTTAAGTAATATATATTTCTTCTAGAATTTTTCTTTTTTGCATGTATTCTTTTCTTTTTGTAAAATTTGTATCTTTTTAAAATCAAATTTATGGTCAGAATTTTTAATTACAAGTAGCTATTAGTCTATGTTGTAAATGTCCATCACCAATATTATCTAAGTTTTATTTTTTTTTTTATAGCCTAGTTTTATAGCATCGTTATAGCATAAAAACTAAAGTAAAGTAGTTCTCTGCACATGCTCCACTTTCAGGGGAGAGTAACCCCTTCCCTCTGACTAAGCTTGGTCAGTAGATGTTCTTTCATCACGGAACCATAGTGCCATTTATGAAGTCGGTTTTAGCCTATAGTTTTAAAATACGTTTATATTTTTTTTTAAATTTTATTTAAAATCTAAAGCATTAATGTAATAAATAAATAAATTAGAGGCCTATGGCGCGTTTTAGGTGATTTTATGCTTAACTACAAAAAATAATAAGTAATAATTATAAATAATAATACTCTTATTTTATTTTTTTTTCAGGTCGAGAGCCTCTTCAAGGCTCATGGAACGCTATGAGAAGTTGGGAAAACTCGGAGAAGGGAGCTATGGAGTTGTATTTAAGTGCAGAAATCGGGAGTCCGGGCAATTGGTCGCAATTAAGAAGTTCGTTGAGTCGGAAGACGATCCGCTTATCAGGAAGATAGCACTTCGAGAAATCAGGCTTCTTAAGGTATCAACAATGGATTTTGTATACTTGATATATATATATATATATATATATATATATATATATATATATATATATATATATATAAATAAATACAGGTTTCGACAAATAAAAAAATATATAATTTAAGTAATTAACAATTGGTCCTTAGTAAACTAGACAAAATTTACTTCAAAGGAAACCATTTCAAGAGGATATTTCAGTTACTAAACTGAAATAAGTTATGTTTTAAATAAAATCATAAATAATTTTCAAATTTTTTTTATCATTCTCTAACAATAAAAAATAATCTTTTAAATACGCATAAATTTCTATATAATCTAGAGATGGTTGACCATGATATAATATGAGTTGGTCGGGGGGTGCGGTCAAATAGAGAGAATCACTTTATTATGATAAAAGGGTGCTGCCCAATTACATTGGGTTGCTTTAAACACAGCATACTTATTAATCGCTACAGACAATTTTCCAAAACTAATATACAATTATATAGTATTAACAATACATGGGAGCATAGTATTTTTTTTTTATCTATATATATTTTTTTTATTATAATTTTTTTCCTATATTTTTATTTTTTATTTTTTTTTACTATTTCTTTCATTCATTTATTAACATTATACATCCCTTTCTGTTCCTTCTCTCCCCTTATAAATTTTTCTCATTCCCTAGATTTTCTGCTCTCTTTTCCTGACCTAATTCATAACATGCATACAAATACATAAAGTGCAGTGGACCTGGTCAATAAATAATATAAATGATTAAATTAAAAAAAAAATGGTATTTTTAATTTTTATGCCAAAATGAGAAGGATAAATTAGCTTGAGTGGGAGCGAAACTTACTAGAGAAGAGGAGTTTAAAACTGAAGCGGTCAATGTGCCATCATGTGAAGAATTGCTGAACGAAGATGAAGAAGAGTGTGAAGAGAAGTCATTAGATATCGGTGCTGAGTGTTGAAAAGTTCCGGAAGGTTTTTGAAGTCTAGTACTGCGACAAGTGGGAAGAGCAGATAAAAATTAATGTGAGGCATAAAAATTAATTAATATGCATACAAATTAAAAATACTATTTTTTTTAAAATTTAGTATTTATTTTACCACACCCCCCCGTTCAACTCCTCATAAATTCCTATAATAGAAATCTGGGTGATAAACACAGTTTCATAATCAGTTTACATGAAAAATATTTGAAAAAGTCATTATTTTTATATAAATACAAAGTTATAGGCAATTATATTTATTATAATGCACCCAACGTCATGAAAAACAAGAAATAAAAACTATTCAGTAATCTATTTTATTCATTTTTGGTGAAAACACATAATTTTTTTTTTACAAATGAAGCGAAATCTCACCGTTTTTCCTAATAAACCTCTACTTAATTAATATGAACTTAAAGAACAATTAACATGAAAGTTTTTCATAATGTGGGGTATTTTTAGTATTGTTAAAGGATGATGAAAAAAAAATCTCAAATAATTTATGATTTTATTTGAAACAGAACTTAGTTTAGTCACTCAAATGTCCTGTTGAAATGGTTAAACTAAATTAAACTTAACAATGAGAAAAACTAATTTCATTTAAAGTAAATTGTATGTAGTTCACTGAGAAGCAATCTTTAATTACTTGAATTATATATATATATATATATATATATATATATATATATATATATATATATATATACACATATATATATATTTAGTTATCGCTACCAATTCAACAAAAAGTGTAACATGCTTTAAACAAAAATTAAATATTAACTTTACTACTTTGTAGCTCTCGAGTTCTGCTATTCTTTCTACTCCTAATAAATAATACCGCTCCCATGTACAGTGTTGCCTAAATGTTAGGCAACACTGTACATGGAATGAAAAATTGGAACCTGAATGAAAAATTGGAAGAGTTAAATTCAGAAGTATATTGGTTCTACTAATTCTTTACATATAGTAAATAAAATTGTCTTGTATTAGTAACTATTTGGTCTTAATTTTTATTCACAAAAAAGATTTTTTTTTTCAACCAGTCTTGGTCTTGCTCTTGTGTAACAATTAGACGGTCTTGGGCAACACTGCCTATCAATATCTATACTTACGGGACACCCTGTATACATATATATATATATATATATATATATATTTTTTTTTTTTTTTTTTTTTTTTTTTTTCTCCTCAGGATTTTGAGGGGCATCGAATAAATTTGTCGACTTCAAGATCCAATAAAAAAATACTGTTAATCATTAAAACTTCTTTTTTTTGTCATCAATCTAAAAATCCTAAAGAAGATGCACACTAACCTACTAATTAACAGTAAATATCTTTAAATGTGTTTGACATACACATTTAACTTAAACTTAAATTTCCTTTATTTTGTCTGTACATATATTATTAATAGTTTCAAGAACCAAATTTGTCATTAAATAAATAAATATTTCCCCCAAAAAAGCTTCACTATATAGTTTCAAAAAATTAATACTGAATAATCAAGTTTTATCTTGTGTTTTCCAAGATTTTGCGATCGGAAAAATAATATGAAACCGATCAATTCAACGCCCTTAAGACTTGACCCTAGCACTTGTTTATAGCTAGGGCTACATTTAATTTATTAATTTATGTTAAGGATTGTATTAATATTTTATGCATATTCCTCCGTACTCTACTTCGGACAAATAATAATATATGTAATAACTATACCTTGAGCACGTGTGAATAGGCTGTTTAGTGTTTGGTAGTGGTTGTTTCAAAATCAGTTTTTCTCTTTATTTTTGTCTAAAAGGCCAATGAAAATGGTAATGTAAAAAAGAATATTTTCTGTTAATAGTAAAAATTATTTCACAATGGTTTATTATTTCCAAACAATTATACATCTAAAGTAACATTACCTTCCTAGTAACAAAGAAACAGACACTTTTTTTTTTCATCATTAATAATTTGCTAAAAATAATAGCATTATTTCAGCAAGAAAAATCCAAAACCAAAATAAAGGATATAACTTTCGCAGTAGTTCCTCACCACTCCCCTCCAAAAAATCCCGTCAAAGAATTAAGGATTCTTTTTAAGTAATTTTTTGGAGGGGAGTGGTGAGGATGCAGTCCGGTGGTAAAATTAGATTTCCGAATTACCCAAAAAGTTTACTTAATATTATAATGCTTATTTAAAAGTTTACAAAAATTACTAAAAAATAAAATTGGACAATTCGGAACAAAGATATGGTCTCTAGATATTTTTTATATGTTCTACTGCGAAAGTTATATCCTTTATTTTGGTTTTGGATTTTTCTTACTGAAGTAATGCTATTATTTTTAGCAAATTACTTATAATGAAAAAAAAAATTTCTGTTTCTTTGTTACTAGGAAGGTAATGTTACTTTAGATGTATAATTGTTTGGAAATAATTAAACCATTGTGAAATAATTTGCTGCATATTGTTACTATTAACAGAAATATTCTTTTTTACATTACCATTTTCATTGTCCTTTTAGAAACAATTAAAGAGAAAAACTAATTTTGAAATACACAAATCAGAATCTACATAATTGCACTAAACAACCTATTCACACGTGCCCAAGTTATAATTATTACATATATAATTATTTGTCCGAAGTAGAGTACGGAGGAATATTCATAAAATATTAATATAATCCTTAACATAAATTGATAAATTTAATTTTAATTTTGGAACTGAGCCTAATTACTAGGAGATGCTTAAAGATCTAATTATAAAATTTATATAATGAATACACAAATAGCTAAAGGTTAACACAATTATATACATTAGTAGAAAACAAAAGGCTTATTTGAAAAATAAGAGATGTGAATCTCATTTAATTGAGTTTTTCAACAGCAGAGATTTCTATTGTAGTATATTAAGGCACCCATAAAATTGATAATAATAAATATTTTTTTCCAGATTGGTGTGTCTTACGGTATGGGTAAATAATTGTCAAAACTTCCTTTGAAGAAAGTTTTAATGTAATAATTATAAGATTCTAGGATTCATCTGTAGTATTTATGAATTAAATATTCAATTTTCTAGTTTTACGAGGATTAATAGCTAATTAGAGGATTTTATTTATTATTTATATTGGTATTTTACTTTATATTTATATTATAACTTTAGTTTCATTTTCAAATTATTTTACCAAGGTTCAAGGACAGCTGATTAATTATAGAATTTTTTATTTCCTTGCTCTATAAAACAGCATCTCAGAATGATCTTTAATCAAGTTTTATCTTGTGTTTTCCAAGATTTTGCGATCGGAAACATAATATGAAATCGATCAAGTAAAATAATTTCATATGTAATTGATTTATATAAATTCTTACCTAAAAGTTAGTAAAACACTCAAAAGAATATTAAAGAAACAAAATGAGTTACCATGTTATTACAATGCGAAAATAAGATGGCCTCGAGATCTCCTATTGTAAATACATTTTTTATTTCAGAGTGCTACCAGTGCGTAGTTTCTCAACAAGTTATTTCATGTTATTATTTTCTGTTATCAAATTTACTAAATGTATTTAATTTATTAATACAGTTGTAAATATCGTAAATAAAAAAATTTTTTTTTTTAAACTGAGCCTAATTACTAGGAGATCCTTAAAAATCTAATTATAAAATTTATATAATGAATACACAAATAGTTAAAAGATCACACAATTATAAACATTGGTAGAAAACAAAAGGCTTATTTGAAAAATAAGAGATGTGAACCTCATTTAATTGATTTTTCCAACAGCAGAGATTCCTATTGCAGTATATAAAGACACCCATAAAATTGAAAATAATAAATATTTTTAAATTTCTTTTTTTCCAGATTGGTGGGTCTTACGGTATGGGTAAATAGTTTTCAAAACTTCCTTTGATAATAAGAAGGTTTTACTGTAAGAATTATAAAATTCTAGGATCCATCTGTAGTATTTATGAATTAAATATTCAGTTATCTAGTTGTATGAGGATTAATGGTTAATTAGAGGAGGCTTGTGTTTATTATTTATATTTATATTACAACTTTAGTGTCATTTTTTGTTTACAAAGATTCAAGGACAGCTTTTTAATTATAGAATTTTTTAATTCAATTCTCAATAAAACAGCATCTCAGAATGATCTTTAATCAAGTTTTTCCCAAGATTTGGCCACAAAAACAAGGCCACATAACCCAAATTACTTATTATCTTTGATTAGATCCCCTTCTTGCAGATCAAATAATGTTTTAAATATGAAACCGATCAAATAAAACAACTTCATATGTAATTAATTTATATAAATACAATCCTAAAAGTTTTTCAAATACTCAAAAGAATATTAAAGAAACAGAATGAGTTACCATGTTATTGCACCTCTTATGAAATGGAATATATATATTATTTTTTTTAATATTAGTGATAATTTTCGAACTTGCAGAGCCTGAAGCACCCAAACCTCGTCAACTTAGTGGAAGTTTTTCGGCGGAAAAGGAGACTTCACCTTGTCTTCGAGTACTGTGAAAGAACTGTTCTTGGAGAGTTGGAACGACACCCACAAGGATGCCCTCAGGGTCTGGTCAAGCAGATGATATGGCAGACACTCCACGGCATACTCTACTGCCATCAGCACAACTGCATCCACAGGGACATCAAACCTGAAAACATTCTTCTGACTGCCAATGGTGTTGTCAAGTTGTGCGATTTTGGCTTCGCCCGGCTTATGAGTATGTACATTCTTTAAAGATTGTGATTTAAAAACAAAATTGAACGATGAAACTCTAACCTGTATAAAAAAAAAACAACAACTAATTTTGTATTTTCTATACTGATCTAATATAATCTTAGCATATCAACACTAGCATTCCTGTTTAGAAACAGAGTTGTACAAAAATTATCCAATTTACAATTGACGACTGAATTTTTAATCTCTATTTTATTTATTTTTTATTTTTTTATTTAATGAAATTTACAACTGTATACAAAAACAACTAGTAAATATGCGCAAATTATAAAAAATGACATCTACAGGCATGAAGAGATACTACCCAGTGGTAGCACTCCCTAAATAATTTTAAGTAAGAAGATCACGAGGCCATCTCATTTTCAAGGAGGATTATCAGGGATCGAGGAAGAAGCAAGAGAGGAAACAAGCGAATTTGGATGGGACTGAAGTTTATCATGAAAGAATAGATATCTGGCTCGAGCTAAATCAGCGACATATGGTACATTAAGGTCTTTATGAACGCTTTTATTTGTGACAAAGTATGGAACATTAAGGATTTTACGGAGGATTTTGGATTGTAAGGATTGGATACGATAGGAATTCGATGGTTTGGTGGAGCCCCAAAGCTCAACTCCGTATGTCCATATAGGTCTTATTATAGTTATGTAGATAAGTCTTTTGTAATTAATTGAAAGTTTAGAGCGTTTGTCTAGTAAGTGTTGGAGCAGTCGGAAAATTTTTAATCTCAAAAATATAATCATGACTATTCACTGATTTTTTAGTCATGAGTAACGATTAATATTAAAACTCCTAATTGTAATATAGTCTTTTTTTTTTAGTCACTTAAGAGAACTAAGGACTAAAAATTTAATGACTGCATACGATGCTAAACTCTGCACATGTGAATAGACCTGATTAAAGTCATTTAATAATAATAATAATAACCTTTATTTGTACATACAATGCAAAAAACAATGGATAAAATATGGATATTTACAAAATCTTAACTTTTTGATTTATACTTGACATTCTTATATGTACAAAATCAACATTTTAGTTAAGGTTTTGAGTTCGATTTCTTTATTTTTTTTTCCCTAGCTTTCTTGCAGCCACACTAAGTAATGAACCTGTCCCATCCGTTTCCACTCTTTCCATTCCAATGCTACTCTCTTCCAGGCTGCTCCCACGCAGGTCTTCTTCATCTCCTTGTCCCAGTCTGTCGGCGGGCGTCCTCTCTTCCTCACGTACTCTCTTGGATATCAATCCATAAACTGCCTGGTCCATGTTAATTCATTCCTCCTGATTACATGTCCGGTCCAGGTCCACTTCCTGAGGTGCACTTTTTCCACAATATCTGGATGGTGTCTTAGCTCTGATCTATTAATTCGCTTTCCCTCCGCTCCATTCCTCTGACGGTTATCCTCAATTTGTGACAAGTCTTCTGGTCAATTACCCATGTTTCACAACCATATGTCATTACAGGAAGTACTCTGCTCATCCAAAGTATTCTCTTGACCTCTGAGCTCACCGAGGATCTATATATATCCTTAAATTTGAAGAGTGCACGCCATCCCTGGGTACATCGCCTGATTATTTCTTCAGTTTGTCCTTTAATTGAGATAAGTTATCCAAAATATAGAAATGTTTCTACTTTCTCTATATGGTGTTCGCTTATTACTTTCACTTACGTATATATGTCATATATAGTAAGGGTAAGTATTGCGAAGCATTTTTACAATTTTCTCAAAAACGACTCTAACGATTTTGATCAAACTTGGTGTATCATTGTATAATTAAGTGGTCTTTAATATCATTTAGGTCTTATCCTCGTTGATGTCACTTTACAGGGCTTAAATGCCCAATGTTCATATATGTCTTCCTCTAAAGTACCTTTAATATGGTTTATTTTAAAAAGTTAACCATTTTGCATTGTTCAGAGTTACAAAAAAATGCTACATATAACTTTTGAAAGAATATGATAAATTAATAAAGGAGAAAAAAAAATAAAAATGCAGAAGAACCTGCGTTTCTACAGACTGTTCCTAAACGAATGTACCGATTTCAATGAAACTTCACTAAAGTCATTTTCTCCACACCCTTTAAATTTATCTATATAACATACTTCAACGAAAAGAATCTGGAAAAAAAGTTACTAGGGATGTAAAAATTAAATTCCGAATAACTCAAAAATTATACGCTTTTTTGTGAATATTGTGTATGGTTTTTTAAAAGTTTATGGAATTTCCTAAAAAAAAAACCAAAAAATCGTTAAAATCGGACAATTAGGAGGAAAGATATGGTCTCTAGTTTTTTCCTGAAGGTGAAAATTTGGATAAATTTAAAATATATTTTTTTAATTGTTGAGACTAAAAAAACCTTTTTTCTACAGATATTTAATAAAGTGTCTTTCCTAAGAACATCTTTTATAAGAAAGTAGTACCTAAATTTATACTTTTATTCTCAGTTCTATATTTCAACACTGCAATCACCCACCTCTGGAATCAACTTCCTCATTTTCTGCATAGATGACTTTTTCAACTAAAACTATCACTAAAATGACATCACTCAAAAATGTTGAAATTGGAGTTAGTCATTCTGTGGTTTATAGAAGCAGATAGAGTGAATAGATTTTTTTGCCTGTTGTCGATATATATATATATTTTTTATTTTTTTATTTTTTTATTATTTTAATGGAATTTACAACTGTATTACATAGAGAATACAATAAGTAAATGAGAAATTGGTAACATGGCATGTACAAGATGAAGAGAAACTACCCATTGGTAGAACTCAAATCGATATATTAAATAGACATTTTGTAATTATAATGGCCTTAATGATTTGTTATCTGTAAGCTTTAAGCTTTAGCTCCGTTTAAAATGCACTTCAAAAAATTTTACAATAGCCCAGCATTGCCAGAAAATAATTTCTATTCAAAGTAGATCGGTAAGTGAAAGTTGTGTGTTGCGCGCACCAGATTTTTTTTATATCTCCCTCAACATTCACTGATATATACTTGAATTTTTTATCATTTATTTTGAGCCCTATGTTTTCTCCAGCCTTTATTAATTGTTTCGCCATCGTTAGGATTTCTTCTTTATTTTTACGTATTAGGACATTTAAGCTTTATGTTATTTATTTAAAGTTATATAGCCTAATAAATATTGAAGCTGTGAAAAGGCATTTTATAAGGATTCCGTATTGGATCCTCTTATTTTGGCTCTACATAGCGAAGTGGTCCTTTCCTGCTTCAACATCTGCTGGGAGAGTGCTCTATTCTCCAGTCCACGGAAACCCGCTTGCCGCATGTCCTCTTCTACCTTCTCCTTCCATTGTGCCACCGGTCGTCCCTCAGTCCCAGAGGGGGGTTGTAGGGAATAAGTTGCGCCATCAAAATTTTTGAGGAGGGAACATTAATTTTTCGATTTTAAGAAAACTTTTACACTAGGAAATAAAGAAAAAAAGGCACTCTGAGGTTTAGGTACATATAAAAAAAATGAAGGAGTGCCACATATTTGGCGAGCGACAGATATGACTTTATACTAAGTACTCATCACAAGTACAGATGTTCGTTCACGGTAATTTGGTGTGAGCCAAATATTACCCATTGATCTGTAAATGAATTATATTGCGCTGAAAATTGTGATTGTGCTGTAACAATTCATTGTGAAAATTGGTGTGGACTGTATGAGGTGTGTCACTGAAATTTGATACTTGATTAAATTAAACAAAATATTGAGAATATGATTATATTACATACAATTGAATAAAATAAAATAAATGAAATTTGTGTCTTTGTACAATTTTGTGGAACATTAGAGGTTAAGTGCATATTGCTGAAGTGCATATTGAAGTACTTTTGCTTTGATTGAAATTGCATTGTCAATTGGACCCACTTGCTGTCTGAAATTGAGCTTCATCGTTTTGGCCACCTCTTCTTCCTCCCCATACTTCCTCCACCAGGCTGTTCTCTTAAAGTTTAACTCATATTTTCTTTCCTTGCGATTTCTTTTTTTTTAACTTTCTTTATTGAATATTAATACATTCTGCCACAATGAAGGGCATTAATATTAAGGCTACATGATTCATTCACACAATATGTACATACAATTAATATCAATAATAAAGAAAAAGAAATATAAAAAAAAAATAAAATAAGTAAATTGGTATGCCTGTGTACAAAAAAAATAATGAAATAATAGATAAAAGCTAGATGAAATTAAAGTAAATAAATCACATTCACACCTATGTACAATATTTACATTCACCCAGGGGACTCTGAGTCATGCCTTATTCCCCGACGTGGAAGCCAAGGCAGGACTCCAGGAGATCCCAGTGCTTCTCTCTCAGCCGCGACACTGTTATTTAAAACCAGTGGAAACTGATGGAGGGCACTATAGCAACAGACGCTCATGTGGCTTGAGTGGAGAATCTGGCCATTGCCAGTACTCCAATATGTACATATTTACAAAAGGTCGCGGGGCCACTGCCGTTTTAACCTCCGGGAGGATTGTAGGGATGACTGGAGCTAGATAGGGATTGTGCTACAGGATTTGGATGATGAATGAGTTTCTGGTGAAATTTGGAAAAATTTTCTGGGATTAGGTCAATAACAAATGGGATATGAAGGTCATTATGGAGGGTTTTGTTGGATACATAGAAGGGAGCATCGACTATTGTTCGGAGGATTTTAGACTGGAAGGATTGAATGCGTTTGATGTTAGAAAGTTTTGCTGTCCCCCACAGTTCTATTCCGTAGGTCCAAATAGGTTTCAGGATTGTCTTGTAGATTAATAGTTTGTTGTCGACTGAGAGTTGAGATTTTCTATTCAATAGTCTATATAGTTGTCCGTATCGTCTGTTAAGTTGTCTTTTAAGTCTGGTGTGTGGGTTCCATGCGATTTCTTAAGAGAGTAACTTAGTGTGTGCACATTTCACTAAAATGAACAGATTAACTCTACAGGAATGGTTTGCAGCAAAATGGTAGCCATAAAATGGTGGTGAAGTTCTGAATTGTA